TTGAGTCCAGGACCCCAACCCAAGGGCTGGCCCCACTCACATTTAGGGTTGGGTTTTCCTACTTTAATTCACTTAATCTTGATAATCCCTCAAGACATGCCCAGAATTATTTTTACACACAGAATCTAAAACCCCATCAAATTGGTAAGTTTAACCATCACACGGGATTATACTGTGAGTTTGAGGCCAGCCTGCACTCTCGAGCCAAGTACGAGGGCCAGCTAGGGCCACATGGCAAAATTCTGTCTAAAAACAAAACAAACCAAAAGATAAGGAAAGAGATAAGGTTGGAGATACAGCTCCATTGGAATTGTGCTTGCCTAACATTCATGAAGACTTGGCTTCAATTACCAGCACCAGATGGGATAATTTACTGAACTTGGAGGCAACCAACAGGCTCAAGCAGTCCTTGTCTCCCTATGAGACAGCTGTAGGGCTGTAGGCCTGTGTGTGGCCAATAATTATCCAAGGGTGAGATTTGAACTCAGGTTTTCATGCTTGCATAGCAAGTGCTCTTACACCCCCCCCCCCCCCGAGCCATCTTTCCAGCCCGTGAATTATACTTTAAAGATAGGTTTTTTATTAGTGAGGAGAAAGAAAGGCATGTGGTATGGTGGCTCTGTCAAGGTGAGGGGTAACCCTGGAGCCAGGTCTCCTGAATATGGGTACTGGTGACTAAACCCAGTTTGGCAGGCTTTCAAAGGAAGTGTTCTCGCCCGTGGAGCCATCGCACCAGCTCTCATGAATTATAGTTTACGTTTCAAAAAGGTGTCTGGGCTAAGGAGATGGTTCAGGAGGCAAAGAGATTGCCCTGAAAGCATGAGGACTAACACCCGTGTAACTGCTGGAAGCATGAAGTAGGCTACCTGTAATCCCACTGCTCAGGACACAAAGACAGGCCCCCAGACCAAGATGGCTAGCTAGACTAGCTGAATTGCCAAGCTCTGAGTTCAAGTGAGACACCCTGACTTAATGTATAAGGTGAAGAGAGGTGTACGACAGTTAAAGTAACTTTTCTTCACCTGATTTAATTGTCCTCTCTGAGGCTTACTGCCTCTGTCTGCTAACCTAGGCCTAGTCCTGAAAGCTCTGAGCCTCTGTACAACCTAATCTAGGCCTAAATTCTTTTCAGCCTCTGAGATTTCTTGCTGATTAAGCTCACCCTTTCTAGCTCTTTCTGAACTCTGGCTGGCTGGTTCAACTCAGCTGTTCTGGTTCAAACTCCTTACCAAACTGACTGATTCAATCTGGCTTCCCTCTCAGCCCCTGACTGAATTGCTCTGCTTGGCCTCAAACTAACTTTAGCAACCTGTTCTGATCTTCTGTTGTTTGGGTCCAGAGGAAGCTGCACAAACCGTTCAGACACCAATCTCAGTTAGATATGGATGTTTAGATATGCAACATCCTGAGACTGACCATGGTCATAGAGTGGACTCAGGAGCCAAACTATAACATTAAGTGTCATTCAGAGTTAGCTTATAAAGGCAAAATCCGCAATGAGCTCACATGGAGGGCGGTGGGGAACAATGGAATAGGGTGGTCACCTCTGACTCGTTATTTTTGCTACTCAGACAAAGCAGTTCTTGCTGACCTTTAATTTGGTTGGTCCCAAGTGTAGTTTACAGTTAGGGTCAGTTGAGCTTATGGTTGGGGAATTTCTAGCAGTAGCAAGACCATAGAGTATGCCGAACCTAAATACAGTTTTTTTTTTGTTTGTTTGTTTGTTTTATCAACTTGACCTTACACGGAGAAATTTTCTTGCTATCAGCCACAAGTTGAGATGATGTGGCTATTAGGCCTGAAAATAGAAATGGCTACCCAAAAGGAGCAGGTCTCAACAGTGTCTCCTTCTCATTCTCTGACTCATGCTGTCTTCACCTGTGTTTAGCTTGTTCTCTCTGCAACCTGCCTCTCTACAGCTGTCCCAGTAAAATTGCCACATTCACCTGCCCCTCGTCTCTGCTCCTCCCTTTTAAGTTGCCTCCCTTTCCTTTCTATTCTCATGAGAGTTGGGCATATAGTATTCTGTCAACTCTTTCTCTGATTCATCGCTTTTAGACATGGTGCTTTTTTCTACAACTGACTTTACCTTCATTTTTTTTAGGATTAAAAGTGTATACTGAGGGCGTGTCTGTATTCCAGCCTGAGGAGTCATGTTGCTGGATTAAATTCCTCCCACATGTGATATCAACCTCTGGCCTCGACACTCACATGCACACACATGTACAGGTATACCAGCACACACACATATATACATGCATATCCAGACATACCAGGATACACACATATCCATGCAAAAAAAAAACTAATATTTTTCCTGTCATTGCTATTTTAATGTAAATTCTTAATGAAATAATTGCAGAATCCAATAAATATAAAATGGATTTCAAGACTGGTGAGGTAGCCCAGTGTTTGAAGTATGTGCTTAGTATGAAGTTAGTATGAACAAGCCATAGATTCAGTCTCCAGAGCTGAAATCAAACAACAACAAAAGGGAAACATGGATTAGGAAGATATCTCAGTACTTTATAACTGAGATGGCAGAACACTTTGCAACAAGCACAGGTGAGAAAGAGAGGAGTAAAACTGGGGCTAGAAGGGTAAGGTGCTTAATATTCAAAAGCAGAAGCCCGATGACCTGAGTTCAAATATCACAGAACCAACACACAGGCTGGACACAGTAGCAAAAGCATCCCTAAATCCTCCTATCCCTCTGGGGAGACGGGTACACAGAGATAGAAAAATCTCCAGCCACTCCCGGGGCTAACCAGCTTGGTTTACACAGCGGCAAAGAGCTGTCTTCAGACCTCCGCACTTGTGGATGAGCGCTTGTACTCACACATGAACCCATGCATCCACGTGTGCCATGGCACAGACACAGCAAAAATGGGGAAGAAAATCCATTGGTAATTAAAAAGTCTTCCAGATCTAGAACAAATTTAGGTGAGGGCAGAGGAAAAATAGGTGCTTTATTAGATACATTTTTTTTTTCATTACTTCATCATGAACCTGAATCACAACACTGTGGAGACATTTTAAGAACACAGGAAGCGGGCTGGAGAGATGGCTCAGCGGTAAAGAGCACTGTCTGCTCTTTCAAAGGACCTGGGTTCGATTCCCAGCACCCACATGGCAGCTCACAACTGTCTGTAACTCCAGTTCTGAGGGACCTGACACCTTCATAATAATGCACATAAAATAAAATTAAATAAATTATTAAAAAAAAAAGAACACAGGAAGCTTACAAGAATAGCGTTATTGCCATCCCATTATATCATAGGCAGCCCAGCAGCACCCCCTCCACAATTGCTAGGGAGTGAACCCAAGTCCTGTCTACCCTCAAATCTAAGCTGCACACAATAATTTAGTAACAACCTCAAGACATTTCATAGGGGGCTAATTTTTGTCAGTCAGCTATTTCTTGTTGAAATGTCTGCCAGGTAAATTTCAAAGCACTATAACAAGGCCATGTTGCATCTCTAAGTTTATGTCATCAGAAATTACTAAGGTCCAGCCGGGCATGGTGGTACACATCCTTTAATCCCAGCACTCTTTGGAAGCAGAGCCAGGTGGATCTCTGTGAGTTCAAAACGAGCCTGCTGTACAGAGCGAGTCTAGAACAGCCAGGGCTACACAGAGAGAAACCCTGTCTCAAAAAACAAACACAACAAAAAGGAATTACTGAGGTCTTAATGTTATTTCGGCTTTTATTCATACACAAAACAGTCTAAAAGCTGTTTTGGTGAGAATGCTTTTATTTCCTGGATATGTGTACAAATCAAATTCTTAAATTTAAAATGTTTTATTGACTTATATTGAATAGTAATTCCTATCCCAGGCGAAAGAAAGAAAGAAAGAAAGAAACAAAGAAAGAAAGAAAGAAAGAAAGAAAGAAAGAAAGCTATTTACCTACAACATTGTCAAGAACCAAGTTTCTTCAATTCAGCCATTCTACACAATTCAGAATTCTTCAATTCTGGCTCATTCTACACAAGGTGTGGGCAATGGCATGGCGTTCGAGATTTCAGGAAAGAAGAATTTGCAAGACTGCTTTGTGCAAATCCTTTGACCTGTCTTTTTATCAGCAAGAGCCACCAACCCTCACCAGTTCTGCCTCTGGGAAGCCGGGAATCGTAAGAGAACTCGCACAGGACTTTCAGAGATTGTTTTACGTTCGAGGCACAAGTCTTGAGAGGAGAGGTCCAGAATGGGGAAGTGACTTGCCCAGAGTTAACAGACTGGTCAGTGGCAGAGCTGGGACTGAAAGCTGGGCCTTCTAAAAGCAGGTTTCTCTTCCCGTGGCACTTTACTTCTCAAAGTAGGAGACACCTGAGAGGTAAGCTTGGGTTTTCCACCTAGAGAATGAGGGGAAAAGAGCGAGGACGACGGAGAAATAAGGAAGGGGACGATAACGGGAGTCGCGTTAGGAGGCAGTGAGTCTAGCCACGCTGGCTCAACCTTTCGAATACCTTTTAGACGGCAGCGAGGACCACCAGTTACCTAGGTCCTGTGTCTGTAACCATCCGGAAAGGCAAACACCCCAAATAAATCTAACCCTTTTCTGAGGTTCTGACTGCCGAACTCAGTCCCTCCCACGGCCGTGGGAGCTGAAGAAGCGGTGGGGCGGGTGGCTCAGGTTCAGCCTCGGAGAAGGGGAAACCTGCGGCGGAGCTGTGGTTGGGGCATGTGGGTTTTGTGGCTGAACTCGATGCTGGGATAGGAAGCCAGGGGAGATGACAGCTGAGCGGAGTTCGCCACCTGAGAAGGGGCGCGGAGGTGCCGAGGAAAGCCGCGGCGGCGCTGGGCTAGGGGTCTCCCGTTCCCGGACGCGGGCGGGGCCCCTCGGAACGCCAGCGATTGGACGCTCCCTAAGCCCCGCCTCCCCGGACCCTTTCCCCCGAGGCCCCGCCCACAACGCCAGGCGCGCGCCTCCGGAGCAGGGAGGGGTCGGGGCGGCGGCGGGCGGAGAGAGGTGAAGCTCTGGCACGCGCCCCACTCGCGGCGAGAGCGCGGACGGCGCGCTCCCGTCACCCGCGTCGCCATCTTTTTCCCCCTCCGTCCGTCTGTCTGCCGTTGGCTTTGTCTGTCTGCCGCGCCGCCCCTCGCCTACCCGCCGCCGGTGCGGCCCGCAGCCGCCCTCTGCCGGCCTGGGGCCCGGTCCCGGGGAGCCCCGGCCCGGCCAGCCCGAGCTGCGGCCGGGGTCCATTGTCCCGCGGTCTGTCTGTCCGGAGGCGGGGCCCAGGGACGCGGAGCGCCGAGGCTGCGGGTAAAGCGCCCCCGCGCCGGGAGCCAGCAGCCGGAGTAGCTCCCGCCGCCCCGCGCCGCCGCCCGCCTTTTGTCTGCCCGCTCCCGGGGAGGGGCGGGCTGGGTGCTGCCGCGGCGGGGTGCGGGCCTCGCGGGCCGGCGTCAGGCTGGGGTGGAGCTGGGGGAGGGGAGGATGGGCGTGGGAGAGCGGACTGGGCGGGGGGCCGGGGCGGGCGGAGGACCTACTAAATTTAGATTTCGGAGAAGGCTAAGTGGTCTGCGCGTAGGTCCGAGACGCCTCGGAGACTCCTGGCTCCAGTCTTGACACCACCTGGGGTTTACCTGTACCCCTGTTTGAAAAAGCCGGAGGGGCCGTCTCAGCTGATAGCACACCCGAGCTCCAGCCCCGGGGACAGTGAAACAGCTGTGTGACCACCTTTCTTCTCTCCCTTTTGGCAGATTCCCATCACTTGGATTCGGGCGAGTTTACGTTGCTTCGTGGGAACCTCACCAGAGCTGGAGGTGGGAATGCATCTTCTTTTCTAAAGGCTGGCCTTAAATAGAGGCAGGGATGGAGGGGGTCTGTGCACCCTCCCGAGGACTCTCTATTCTACAGATGACTAAACAAAACAAAAACCAAACAAATAAAAAACACCCTCCCTTTAAATGTAGCATCCCTTGTAGCTCAGATTCTCAGTTTACTGTTCCTCCCAGTTTCCTCCCAGCTGAAGATGTTCAGGCAGCTAGAGTTACATCCCTAGCTTAAGTTTCACATTTGGGCAGTGCTGAGAGCAAAAGGGACCGAGTGGCCTTTTGTACCGTTTGTTTTGTTTTAATAGGGTTTTGCCACCCATAAAACTAACCTCAGACATTGTGCTGTTTGGGTCAGGTGTGTCCTTCCAGTGCCGTTTGTCGGTTTCCCCCTCCTCTGGACTTTTTCTTCTAGTGGGTGTTTTAATTATTGTGGCTTGTCTTTGTTTTGTGGGAGGGAAGGTGTGTTTATTTTCCTTTGATCCCTCAGGTGTGAAGTCCCCTGAGGTACCATCTGGTCAGTTCCCCCACTGGGCCACTAGGAGGATCGTGAGAAAGCAGTGGACGCTGCTGCCCTGCTGGCTGTGCAGCCTTGTAGCCGCACATCCGTCATCTCTTCGCCGGGCAGCTTTAGTATTAAACCGTCGTCTTGCCAAGATGATCTAAATAAAGCCTGACTCACAGACTTTAGCGTCTCCATCTTAGAGCTCCGATTCCTGAACTTCAGAGGGTAAATGTAGATGAGATTTCATTTGGTTTTCGTTATACAGTAGAAAAGTGTGCAAAAATTTACATCTCATTCAGCTTTCGGCTTTGGGACTTCACAGACAGTAAAAGATCTAAAGTGTGCTATTCATCACAGTTTGCATTACAATAACTAGAAAGAAAAAACCAGGTGTAGTGATGCACACCTCTAATCCCACTAGTCAGAAGGCTGAGGCCAGACAGTGACTGAGCCCGGGGGTTCAAGGGCAAGACACAATATTGAAAAAGAGTAAGTCCGAGAAAGATGACCACCCTTGGCCACTGGGGATGTAACTTAGTTGGCAGAGTGCTTGGCCATTATGCCTACTGTGCACAGAGCTTTAGGTTCCAACCCCAGCACCATGAAAAACTGGGGATGGAGATACTTGCCTGTTTTCTCTTAAGGAAGGGGTATCAGAAATTCAAGACCCCCTAAGGATACAAGAGACTCATGTCTCCAAGGGGGAAAAAATGAAAAACAGAATACATAACCTTTGTATTGACATTAAATTGCTCTCTAAAATTGTTTTTTCTGTTTTACACATTAGGAGTTATTTTCCTTTTTTTAATTGAAGGTCTGAAAAGAACTGTGTTTGGTATGCAGATATGATAGAAGACTGCCTGAAAGCTGCTTCCTTTGCTACTTCCTGTGGAGGCCCGTCTTTGCCATTTGCGGTTTCTTTCTTCTTTTGGTAAGGGGAGGTAGGGTCTGATTACAGGTTTGAGGGCCTGTCTAGCTACATAGAGGAGTTAGTTGGCATTAGCAGGTGAGTCTTCATTAACTGGAATGCACAGTACAACTAGGAGTTTCTCTAAAGGAATTATATATTTCTATTTGAGTCCAGTTTAAGAAGGCAGGAACTGAATGGGGAATAACAAAATCCACATCCCTAACTGGCAGAAAAAAGACTCTTAACTCTTTTTTCATTTCACATTTGTTTACTGTGGTGTATATTTGTCTATCTTGTTTTGTGGTGTTGGGAATTGAACGCAGGGCCTGGCACATGCTAGGCAAATGCTCTGCCACACTATCATATCCCTAGTCCTTTGTCTTCTAAAGAAAAGGCTGTGGCTTCTGCAACTAATCCACTTTAGAATCTCTTACAGTGCTTATGGCTGAGCCAGTCTTGTAGTTAACAAGGAAGCTGACGGCTAAAGACTTTGCCAGAGCGGCAGATGCACAGCTCTGCTGTTCTTCTATGGGGAGCTTCTCTCTTTATTCCTCCCTGATCTCCCTGCTACATCGCAGAATTGAGAAAAGGCTATAAAATTGTGATCTTTGAATGCCTCTCTGGAACAAATGAGCAGGGCCAGTGGGTGTTCCACGTTGGAAGACTGAAGTAGTACTTTACAATGTGGCTGTCATCTGTTCTTGGGGTGAGAGCCTGTCTCATGAGGTGGAAGTTTGATTTGCGCTCGTGCCATCCTGCCAGCTGCCTGGCAGTATGCCTGCACTGCCAATAGGTGATCCTCTGCCACCTCTGAGCTCATCCCTTAGAGAGCTACCTAGAGGTGCAGACTGCATGCCTTGACTTCCAGCTGCACGTGGCAAGTCATTGTTACCTCTTTACTCTGCCCCACATCTGTGGGAGTAATCCCTTTAGCCCACAGTACTTCTTACCTTGATTGACTGAATTTGCATCCTGTTCTGTCCTGTGACCCTGACTGTGAGCATTTGGTAGTAGTCTGCATTCTAAAGACAGCTTTCGAGAAGTATTCTCATAAGCCCTCTACAAGTAGTCGCCTCAGCCAAGTGTGGTAACACACACCTGGAATCCCAGCACTCAGGGAGGCAGAGGTAGCTAGATTTCTGTGAGTTTGAGGCCAGCCTGGTCTATAAAGTGAGTCCAGGACACAAGGCTACATAGAGAAACCCTGTCTTGGAAAGAAAAAAAAAAGTTGCCTCTTAGGCTCCTTGGGACCTTAACATTGGGTTTAAGATTTATATACTCATTTCATTAGTTCAGTTATTTATAGCTGAATACATCCTCAAGATGTATTTTTTAAGGTCTTTACATCTCTAATTTTGTAATTTCTGGGGAAAATAATAGGCTAATTATTGCTTTTTTGTCTGTTTTGGCAGGTCAGCACCTTACAAGGAGGTGGTAACATATCCAGTGGTGAAACTGGGAAAGAGCAGAGCTTTTGGATCAGGGAAACATGTCCCGTAGGAAGCAGACAAATCCAAATAAAGTTCACTGTGAGTACTGGACTTTGTCTTTTGGAACCTGGGAAGATGAGGGTTGGAATGAAAGAGTAACCGAAAGGATGAGAGGCTCACACTCATTTGTGGAGGAGAAGAAAGGGTTAATGGTTTCCATATATGGATTTGAAGTATAAGTTCAAGGGTATATGCATTTAATTCATCCTTAATATTAACAATTGCAGGAAACTTATATGAAAATGTACTAGGTATCTAGCCGGGTGTGGTGGCGCACACCTGTAATCCTAGCACTTGGGGAGGCAGTGGCAAGTTTGGATCTCTGTGAGTTTGAGGCCAGTGTCGTCTACAAAACAAGTCCAGGACAGCCAAAGCTAAACAGAGAAACTGTCTGGAAAAACCAAAAAAAAAAAAAAAAAAAAGACTATAAAACAGTATAATATAACTATAATGCAGCTACACATACACACAGAAGAAACATAAAAATACAAGCTGCTGTATGCCAAACAGGGGGACTACAGACTATGTATACCACAGAAGTTAAAGAGTAAGGACACTTTCACTGGCTGGGGTAGCAATGGAATGCCTGATGGAATAGGCCCCCGACCATGAACTTAAACAGAGCTCTAGAGGGTAAAAGTGGGTTTGAACAGAAGGAAGGAGACTGCATGTGATCTGTTAGAGAAGGAGACTTCCTCAAGCAGAAGTTTCATTTAGCCAAAGTCACAGGCTGTGTGACCCTCAGTAAGACCCCATCCAACTAATTTCCAACTTTTGAAAAAGACTAAAGAAAAACTTAAGCAGTGTAAAAAATCAGTGTAGGAAATCATCAACAACAGAAAGCTTATACCAGTGTAATAGGACAAGGAGCCAAGTTCCAGCCCCTTCAGGCAGCAAACTTGGCAGCTTTGGCCACATGGTTCTGGCTTTAGAGTCAAGGATATACACAGGGATTGTGGAATCTCCCTCCTCAGCTAAGGACAGCCGCTGAGATCCAGGCTGTGTCTTCTACATAGTGAGGAACAGCAACAAAAACAACAAAACAAGGGCTGGGAGGTGACTCCGTGGGCAAGGCGCTTGTTATAAAAGCAGGAGGAAGTGCAGGTCCCCAGCACCCATGTGAATGAAAATAAAGTAAAAACAAAACCAAAAATGAGATGAGAAGACCAATGAGGTGGCTCAACAGGTAACCTGCTTTGAATACCAACATGGTAGGAGGAAAGAACCAACTCCTGCAAGGGGTCCTTTAGCCTACAGACATTCAGTATTTGCTCTATGCCTCTCTCAAACATACACACACACACACACACACACACACACATAAACATAATACACTTGGAAAAAAAAAAAGGTAGGTGTAGAGGATGATTTTGTAATCTCCATCCTGGAGTAGAGTCAGAGACAGGAGGATTCTGGAGACTTGATGGCCAGATAGTCTGGCTGACACAGCAAGCTTTAGTTTCAGTGAAATACCCTGTCCAAAAAAATAAGATAGAGAGCACAAGAGAAAGACATTGACCTGCGGCCTCTACACATATGTACATACATATACACCAAACAAAATAATTACTATCAAATTTAGGATAATTTTTCTCTAATCTGGGTAGAGAAGCATTCTTAACTGAATGTTCATAAAATAGATGCATGACAGTTATGAAGGATTAATTGAATAAAGTACAGTACCAGCAGCAGATGAAGAAAATTCAGAGATACACATGATCTTTCTGTGAAGGGCTTTACACATGGTAGACAGCTACTCTGTCTCCCAGCTATAGCCCCACCCTGTAAGACTTTCTTTTTAAAGCAGTAAGTAAGCAAAAATACTAGAATATGGATAGATTATGCAAGAAATTAAGATGACTGAATTTTATTTGAAACAGTGTGACCCAAGAAGTTATGATAACTGTGACATCTTTCATTAATGCTGTTGAGTAGCAGACATTTGTTACCATAGATTTAAAAGGTATGGCCTAATAAATGTTTATCATTAGGCTGTAATTACTATGGCGGTATTATCAAACTCGCTCTCGATGCCTGTTGTATTTTATAAAATAGCCTTTACCCTGGGGCATTGCAGACATTAACTCTAAACTAACTTTACCTCCCACCCATGGTCCCAAAATACTTATCAGTGTTCTCCATCTCCTCCATGCTGCTCTGGCCAAGTGTTCCTTCCCCACACAGGTCATATGGCACTGGTCCATGTCCTTTTCTAATCCTTTCTTTTTTTTTTTTTTTTTTTTTCTCCCTTTCCTTGTGGTCCCTCGACCTCAGGCTGTGAACTCCAAACTCCATTTCCCTTTTGCTTTTAGAACTTAAGTATACCCTAGGCATCTTATACCTGGGTTTTTACATTTGTTATGGCTGTCTTTGCCCTGTCTCTTTTTCAATATGGAATGGGCAGCTATTCCTGTATAGCCAAACTTTATATAAACTTCCTTATACCCTTAGAGTTTAAGCATTTCCTAGGCATCTTGTACTTGGGTTTTTACATTTGTTGTGGCTATCTTTGCCTTGCCCCCTTTTCATATGGGATAGACGCTTTTACCTTTTAAATATATGAATTGTAGTCTTTGAGTTTTTAGGACTTAACTAGACTGGCCTGTACTTTGCTGCCTGTATATAGTCCCCTGCGTGTGTGGGTTTTTTTGTTTGTTTTTGCCTTAGGCATGATCGACGTTTGTTCCCTGTGAAAATGTCTCACGTTTAAAGGAATAAGCTGGTGGACAGAGAAGTGTGACATCATCTCTCCTTACATAAACCTAAGACTGGTGTGAATCCAACCTTTTAGATCAGTAAAGACATATCACCCATTATTAAAAAAAATAACTTAACATAGTAATTAACCTTAAGAAAAAGTTTGTGCCAATGAGTTCTAGGGTCTTCCCCACTTTTTTTTTCTAATCGATTTAATGTGTCCAGTTTTATGTTGAGGTCTTTGATCCACTTGAACTTCAGTTTTATGCAGGGTGATAAGTATGGATCTATTTTCATTTTTTTACATGTAGACATCCAGTTAGACCAGCACCATTTGTTGAAGATGGTGTCTTTTTTCCATTGAATGGATTTGGCATCTTTGTCAAAAATCAGGTGTCCATAAGTGTGTGGATTTATGTCAGGGGGATACAAAGTGAGTAAAGTGTAATTAATAAAGAAAAAAAAAAAAAAGAAAAAGTTTGTGATTTTGAATCCTAGACTGTCTTTGTAAGTAGCTAATCAGCAGGGGTTTTCTGCCCTGACTTTATTGTAGGCTAATCCAGAACTCAGAGATCTGTCTGTTGTGTGATTAAAGTCATGTACTGGCATCCTCCTGTTGAAATATTTCATCTCAAATCCATATCATTATAACTCAAAACCTTTAAACAAAAATAAAGCAAGGAAACAAGAAAATCTAAATTTTAGGCCAGTTGTGCCAATTTAGGCATAACAAGCAAAGCCTAGTTTATCATTTTTGGAATCTGGACATTGCTATATTGTATTGGCTGGCCCTTTCCGGCCAGCCCTTTCCAGAAAGAGCTGACAAACATCTTACAGCCAGAGCTTTGAATTCCAGCCTCTATCAATCTAGTTAATTATTGGGAAGAGTGCCCTTTCTGTTGTCCGTAACTTAGTATTCCATCCCTGACTTTCTCCCCACTTTCTCCTTGAGCTTTTGTAGGGAGGGCACTGTGATCACCATTAAACACATTGCAATTAGGTCCGTAATAACAACAACCAAAACAAAGCCAGAAAAGAGCCAAGCGCTCTTACTGTTTTAAGTCTGGACGTGTTGAATGAGATAGATGCGTCTCTGAGAGTTGTTACTCTGGAATAGGAAGATTTCCAAGGCTGCTTAATGTAAAGGTGACTGATTTAGGAAGATTTAAAAGTTGCTGCTGAAACAGATGTAATATGCCTGAATATAAAGAGGACAGAGGCGGTGATTTATAATCACCCACCACAGGTTCTCCAGAGACTGAGTAAAGTGTAAGGGTGACAGCACAATTATACTAAACAGGGACCCAGCAAAGCTTGAGTGGCCTGTGCCTGTGTCTACATAGCTTGTATCTATTACGTACATCTCCTCCCACCACAGACAACTAAAGCCAAGACAAACTGGGCTGGTACTGGAGTTGGAATTTTATTTTACTTTTCATTTTTCATTTATGTGTATGGGTGTTTTGTGTATATGTCTGCACTGCATGCATTTCTGATGCCTACAGAGGCCAGAAGGGGCATCACATCCCGTGGAAGTGGATTACAAAAAGTAGGTGTTGAGATTGAGTCTTTGGAACAGCAGCCAGTGCTCCTGGTCACTGAGTCATTCTTTTAGCCTCTGAGTTATAGATGGTTGTGAGCCACCATGTCGGTGCTGGGAATCAAACGGGGTCCACTGAAACCACTGGCAGGCTATTTACTTGGATTTTGTATCTAAATCAGACAGCCCATTCCCATTTCCTTAGATTCAGTGCAAAATTTTAGAATAAGAACCCAGAACTCCTCATCAAGAAACTGCTGCCGAGTTGAAACCTGTGTTACAGACATTCTGCCTACCTGTTTTCCCACTTCTCCCCTTTCTGAGTGCAAGTATCAACTGTCCGGAGAATTTGAAAAATATAGTCCTTTGTCTGCTCATGTTTCAGTGCTAGAATCCAGGAAGCCACCAGGAAAAAAAGCTTTCCTCAAGACACTGGCTCTCAGGTTGCAGATACTGAGAGTGGAGAGCTGCGGCTGGAAGCTTTTCAGGTGTAAAAGCGTCCAGGTCCTTTCCTTTCTGAGAAGCCAGTGGGTGCTGTCTCCGTTCATGCTGCTGGCCTTCCTGGCATGCAACTGCTGCTCCTATAGATAGCACCTGGGCTGCTCAGAGTGCCAGCTAGGAAGGAGTCTGAAGCACCTCCTCCCAGTATTACTGCTCTTTCTGAATAAGACATCTGCTCAGAGAACATGTTGACTGAGTACTTTCAGGCAGCCCAGAACTGCATATATTAAACTGTACCAAGGACCTACGGGAAAAACAGGGTAAAACTTTTGTCCTTAGAAGACTTTTACCTTGATCTTTTCATCTTTTTTTCAAACTGGCCTTGTTCTTGACTAGTCTGCAAATCCCTAGGCAAAAGTGAGATACTCTTTGCATTTCAAATGTAAAGAAAGAAAAGAGAGAGAAGTGTACCTGGATTTTATTGTAAAACTTGACTTCACTAGGCACATAAATGCCCACATTTAATAGGAAGGCAACCCTGCATAAATATCTGTGAGCTAAAGACTTTTAGCTCATTCTAACAGTCACAAGACAGAAGTAAGAATTCTACATTATAAAAATAGGCAATTCTACAACATTTCATCACTAGTAATCTATATACTTAGACATATAACATTTTTAAAGTTCTTACATGTGTTTATTTTGTGTATGGGGGGGAGGGCATGCTACAGCACACACATGTTGATCAGAGGATAGCTTCCGACTGTGGGTTCTAGGAATTGCACACAGACATGATGGAAAGTGCCTTTATCCACTGAGCCAGCTTACCAGCCCCAGGGAAACATATTCTTAACAGCTTCTACTACCTTCTCCCCAAAGGATAATTTATACAGTTGGATATGGAGATTAGGTAAAAGTAACTACTAGGAAAATCATTTATTCTTCTTAATGAAGTTTGATAAAATCACCTGTAAGATTTAAAAACACACATATATATTGTTTAATGGTGCTATTTAAAATAGGAACAGCCTTAAAGAACAATATTTATTTTAGGCTTTTTCATAGTCAGTAATGGAATAAAAGAACAGTATTTCTATATTACTGAGAAAATTATGTGTCTCAAGTTCCCTGAGATTGCCAGCAAGAATCTTAGGGAAGTCACAGTGAAGAGATTCCATTCTGTTCTGTAAAGGTTGGAATAGTTAAACTTATTAGAATTCTGAGTTCATGTCGATAAAGATTACACTGAATTACTGGCTCACTTTGCTTTTAGATATCTTTTAAAGTTTAATGTCTATGGATGTTTTGCCTTGTGTGCCTGGTACCCACAGAGGCCAGAGGTGAGCATTGGATCTCTGGGAACTGAAGTTTATGGATGGTTGTGAGCCACCTTGTGGGTGCTGGGAATCGAACCTGGATCCTCTGGAAGGATGATCAGTGCTTGTAACCACTGAGCCATCTCTCTAGATTCCTTTTAGATATCTATTAGGGCAGTGTGACAGGAAAAATTGTATGTTCACTTCTGGCAGTAACTAACATTTACAGTACATGCCAGTATAAAATTTATTCCTTAATGCCTGGTTTGTCTCTGGCCGTTGGGTCTGAAAAGTGTAGAGGAATTGCAAACCATTACAGGTACTTTTGCTGTTTCAGTGGAATCAGTGTGAAGAAGTAAAATGCTTTTGCAGAGCAGAAAGCACTCTGCACAGTTGACTCTTTGCCTTCTCATAATTGATGCATGACTAGTAACTTATAGCACATGTGCTGCTTCAGAAGTTGTGAACACAGGCTGGGCACAGTGGTGCATACCTTTAATCCCACCAATCAAAACAAACAAACCAACAAAAAAGTGAATAGACGCAAAGTAACTAATTTTTCCTTTTCTTGAAGTCTGTATACCTAGGAATACATTTTAACATTCCTTACCCACAGGATGAGTCATAACTGCAATAATGTCAGTTTCTCTAACCCAGCATGATGACTCCTGGCAATGTTGTCAGAATTACTTTTTTTTCCTTTTGTTACACTGTGGTCTTGAAAACATTATTTTGATGATTGATATTTCGATATGAAGATAACAGCAGCACTATGATCAGAGCCAGTCTGTCACACAGAGACAAGTATTTGTTGTGAACAGACTGACTGTGAAACCCTATAACATGAATTCATACCTCTGGTGGCAGCACATGCAAAGTCTGGACTTTAGGGCATAGGGTTATAGCTCAGTGCTAAAAGTCTGCTTTTAGCATGTACAAAACCTTAGGCTTAATCCCTGTCCCAAGAGAAACAGACACTGAAGATGAAGAAAAGGAACCCAGAAAAGACAGTGTAGTTGTTAAGACTTCAACACTTCATTTCACTATAGACCTTAATTTTCTTTTTTTTTTAATTTTTTAAAAATTTTTATTAATTACAGTTTATTCACTTTGTAATAAACTCCCTCTCCCAATCCCACCGTCCCTCTTCCCTATTCGTGTCCCTCTCCCAGTCCACTGATTAGGGAGGTCTTCCTCCCCTTCCCTTTTATCCTAGTCTATCAGGTCTCATTATGACTGGCTGCATTGTCTTCTTCTGTGGCCTGGCAAGGCTGCTCCCCCCTCAGGGGAGGTGATCAAAGAGCAGGCCAATCAGTTCATGTCAGAGACAGTCCCTGTCCCCATTACTATGGAGCCCACTTGGATACTGAACTACCATAGGCTACCTCTGTGCAGGGGTTCCAGGCCATCTCCATGAGTGGTCCTTGGCTGGAGTATCAGTCTCAGAAAAGACCCCTGTGCCCAGACTTTTTGGATCTGTTGCTGTCCTTGTAGAGCTCCTGTCCAGGTCTTACTATCTCTCACTTCTTTTCATAAGATTCCATGCACTCTTCCCAATATAGGATAAACATACTAAAATCTGTACAGCTAAGGAAGCTAATCAGGAAGGAGGACTCTGACTAAGACGCTCAATCCCCATTCAGAAAGGCAAAGAGGGTGGACATCGGAGGAGGGAGAAAACAGGGAACAGGACAGGAGCCTACCACAGAGGGCCTCTGAAAGGCTCTACCCTGTAGGGTATCGAGGTAGATGCTGAGACCTTAGTTTTCTTACATTTATGTTTAATTATGTGTTTGTGTGTTTATGTACACAGAGTGTAGGTACTTGTATTCCCTGGAGCTGGAGTTATAGGCAGTTGTAAGCCTCTAACATGGGGACTAGGAACCAAATTCTGCAAGAACAATACATACTCTATTGCTGAGCCATCTCTCCATCACCTTTGGCTATCTTCTTAATAACATATAGGTAATGTAGGTATTTGGTAGTTAGAAAGGTAGGTAAGTAGGAATACCTACCATATAGAGAATCAAAGTCGGGGGACCAACAAGATGCTACATGGGCAAAAGTGCTTATTGTGTAAGCATTATAACCTGATAACCATCAATCCCCAGAACACACAAATTGTCCTCTGTCCTCCATATATTCACCATGGCACATCTATACCTCCTATACACAAATAATAAAGTTAAATTTTAAAAAGAGAAGGTGAGGACCATACAGTACTTATAAAGACTATCACATAGTAACTGTAGTTGGTGTTTAGTGCTTAGCATATACTTTATTTGCTAAATAAGTAATTTACAAATAAGGATTATTTGCCCGGTGAGTTACCAAGTAAATCACATAGAGCTGACCCCCTCAACACTGACCAAGGAACAACTCCCATATAATTGTACTGTGTCTCCTAAATCTTAACCTGTTTACTGTCCTTTCCCTTCTCAGTAAGAAAAGGCCTGATCTATAAACATTTCCCTGGGGCTTTGATTATTTCCTCTTGCTGGCCGGGGAATCGGGCCTGTAGTAGTTTCCATTCTTACTGAGATAAGAGAAACCTATCTCTCTCTTCTCTCTGTGCCTAGTTTGCTGGAAATTAAACAGCACTTGCAGGTTAATTCTTCAGTAACACGGCTCTCAGGCAGAGCTCATGAAAAGTAAATGTAAAATCAGGCATGGTCCAGGGCTTCTGGACACTTTATACAAGTCAAAGGCCACAGTGACCCAGGAGACTAGATAAGTAGTATTTGCTGTAGGTTAGTTGGTGTGTTTCCGTGAGTTAGAATATGATCTGCTCTCATCTTCCCTTCCTGTCTGCTACATGTTTATCGTGCTAATTGACAGACATTAGAGAAAGGCAGGAAGAAAGTCCAGAACGTATCTTGGAATGGGTGTTGAAAAAAGCTGGGATTGGAGATTCAGTTAGAAGGATTACCTGAAGCTTTTGGGTGTAGAACAGCATAAATTAGGGTTCTGATGGTGTAACTTAAAGGAATACAAAATTTTGCCCGGTCTATTGCCCTGCCTCCATCCCACCACTTTTCCTCTGTCTTTCCAATCCTGATGGAAGGCTGCAATGAATTGAGACTCTGCAATTAAGTTTGTAAAGTAGTGATTAATCACCTTTTCAAGGGTCAAGAATAGGGAGATTTAAGAGAAGCTAACTGCCCAGGAAGAGCAGTTCCACCCAGAAGCTGCTGGAGGTAGCAGCATGGCTTGGAGATGAATGACTCTATACAGGGTACCTACCTGCCTCCTACCTTTGACTAGTCTGACCTTCCAACTAGTTTGCCTAGGCATGTACTGCCCACCTGGTGGCCTGACTGTTTTTCCTTGTGACCACCAGGGGATCAAGTATTTGCTGGGCTAGAGGAGCAAGCCCGACAGGCGATGATGAAAACTGATTTTCCTGGAGACCTTGGCAGTCAGCGACAAGCTATCCAGCAACTAAGAGATCAGGACTCCAGTAGCAGTGAGTTCTGCACCTTCTGGTAATGACTCAGGGCAATGGGAGAGGAACTAACAGACTGTGTGCTCTGGGGGTTGTGCGTGGGGGTTGGGAGGAAGAGCTAAGAAGATGTGTGGGTGTCCAGGGTCTGAGTTTGTTTATTCAGACATGGGACAGGCTGGCATATTGATCTTATAATTCATGGACTGTAGTAGTTGGCACAGTGCCATATACAGATAGGCTTGTGATTGTGATATAGGACTTTGTGTTCAGACCCCTGTGGGCCAGGTAAAAGAAAAAAAAGCCTTTGCTTTAGGTCTATTTATTTATTTGTAATTAATGGAATATAAGAGTGGCATTTATGAATTTTTCCTGGAGGTCCTAGTTTTAGTGTTGTACAGATTTGCTTAGTGATAAGATTATGTAGCATATTAAATGCTGAAGTCCAGGTTTTCCCACACCAAAGCCCGTACTAGATCTCTGTGTAAGTTCTTACAAGTTAAGGCTCATAGATTGTTTGGTCCATAAATCTGCCTGAACAGACTCACTTTGAGCTATGTTACTTCCCAGGAAGATACCTATACTTTCCTGATCTTCCTCATTTGATATTTGTTTTGTTTGTTTGTTTGCTTTCTGAGACAGGGTTTCTCTGGGGAGCCTTAGTGGTCCTGGGCTTGCTTTGTAGACCAGGCTGGCCTCGAACTCACAGAGATCCACTTGCCTCTGCCTCCCTGAATGCTGGGATTACAGCTATGTGCCACCGTGCCCAGCTTGATACTAGGTTTTTTTATTTATTTATTTTTTTAAATTAAATGTCAATTTGGAGTGAAATTTCTATTTGTTTGTTTGTTTGTTTGTTTTAACCAGTTGAAACCTTGGGGAGATCAAAGAGAAGAGAGACAGAGAGTGTACGTGTTCTGAACTCAAAAGAGAGTTGTACAGTTTTTCCCAAACTAATAATTAAGCAATAGCAAGCATACAGACACAACATAACACATACACACACACTAACAACTAGTAAGGTAGGTACAAAGAAATGAACCCTAGAATTTCTAGGAAAACTGTGGGACACAGCAGTATCTTTCTTTTTTCCTTTTTTTTTTTTTTTTTTTTTTTTGAGACAGAACAGTTTGTTAACAGATAAAGAGTAGACATCTAGTAGGCTACTGTTCTAAAAAAAAAAAAAATAGTTGTACCATCCTTCTAGACAGCATACTTTAAAAAAAAAAAAGTTCCTGCAATATTCAGATAATTGACAATTTACAAACGTTTATTTTGTGCATGCCTTAGATTAAGCCTACAAGTCTTCTATACTGGATGCTGGTGAGAAGATATAGTGTGATTTAGTCTGGGCTGACCCTTCACAATTGAGATGGATTAAAGTGAAAGCAAGCTTTAATGAACACACACTATACTTTTCAGCACCCAAGTGAAGTCTACACATGACTGATAATCTAATATAGACCTGTATACTCACCAGCGGGTGATGTCGTAGGCATATGTCAGTAAAGGAAATTTAACCCAGTGTTGTCCAGAAATAAATAATCTTATATTGTACATTTAGAAAACATGCAAAATAGTAGGGAGATGAGTAGCTCTGTCAGCAAGAAATGAATCTTGCTGTTGAGACTCCTTACAGTAGCCTTAGGAGTCCAGAATCCATGCAGGAATGAGAGGGCTATTCCCTGACCGACTGCCAGCTTCCGCTGGTGTGACTTCCTGTGCGACCTGTAAAGCACCTCATTTGTTATTGTGGAGTTTGGCTTCCCCTCAGTCAGTTTTTCCCCCTTTATTTTACAAAATGAGGACAAAATCAGCTCACACAAACCTTGCAGATTCAATAGCCACACATAGATTACCCCACAATCATGTTCTTCCTCACCAAACTAAAACAGACCCACTTACTAATGTCTAAAGTGAATAATGACACTTTCCCCCACTTCTTTCACATTTAGTTACCCATTAGATAAACCAACAAACCATCTGAAACAGTGAATTTATTAGTTTAAAATGTGCATTACCTAGTGGATTAAGAACAAAGTGGACACCTGGGCATGGTGGTGTATGCCTTTGATCCCAGCACTTATGGGGCAGAGACAGGCAGTTCTCTGAATGTGAGGTCAACCTGGTCTACCTAGAGAGTTCCAGGACAGCCAGGGCTACACATAGGGAGAGGGAAGGAGAAAGAGAAGAAGAGAGAGGAGGAGGGGGAGAAAGGGAGAGAGAAAAAAAAAAACTTGGGAAGGAATTTGAGGCAGGAGGATTATGTCAGGATTTTTGAAACTAGCCTTTGTTGCCCAGTAAAACCATCTCAAGAAATCGGGGTTGGGGTTAGGGTGTAAACTTGGACACCTTCCACCCTATAAAAATAAACTGCTCAAGGTTGATGCTCTGATAATTGTACTTTTCTACTGGAATGTATAGCCCTTTTCCTATAAATTGGCATAACTTTAAACTAGTTTATTCTTATATCCTTAAGAGGAAATAGCACTGTTATTATTTCTGCAAGTGTGTATTGATATTTGTTGTGAGAGAAGAGATTAGTGGCCTGGGGGGGGGGGCGTGTAGAATTGTTTGTGATAGCATAAAGAAATTGTGCAGATGGCTGTAGAATAATAAACTCAGAGGTGTTGCTAAGTCATAGGTTTGTTTTGGGAGTGAGTTTGGTGTGATGTGCTTGGGGAGGTACCATCTCAAGTGTAAGATATTTGAGAACCATGAATAAGAATAATTCTTTTGCCACGCATGGCAGTACATGCCTAGAATCACAGCACTTGGGAAACAGGCAGGAGGATCAGAAATTCAGAGTCATTCTTAAATACATGGTGAAACTGAAGCCAGCCTGGGCTGCATGAAATCTGTTTCATAAACAAAAACAGGTTTTGTTTTGTTTTTTTGTTTGTTTGTTTGTTTTGATTTTTTCGAGACAGGGTTTCTCTGTGTAGCACTGGCTGTCCTATACTTGCTTTGTAGTCCAGGCTGGCCTCAAACTCAGAGTTCTGGGATTACAGGGGTGACTCATCATGCCTGGCTTAACAACAGTTATTTTTATGGTAATGTAGAAGGCTAGTTACCTTTTTTAGTACAGATGTGCCTCACAGTTTTTCTGTAGTATGTATATGGCATAATGAATGGTAGTCACAGATGGTTTCCATTCATCCATTCAGCCCACAAAGCACTGATGTAAACTATTACCTGAAGTCTGAAAATTTTTTTTTTTTTTTTTTTTTCCATTGTAGCTGCAAACTCTCAAGTAGATAGCAGCTCAGGATTTGTTCCTGTAAAAATCAGAACAAGTGACCAGTTTATGTGTTCCAGGTGACAGTGAAGGTGACGAAGAGGAGACCACACAAGATGAAGTATCTTCCCACACATCAGAGGAAGATGGTGGGGTAGTCAAAGTGGAGAAAGAATTAGAAAATGCAGAACAGCCCGTTGGTAGTGGGAATGAAATAGTAGAGCATGAGGCAAGTGGCAAGCAGTCTCTTCATGCCAGCTTTCTTTCCCACCCCACCCCAACACTCCTAAAAGCTCTCGCTTCTTTCCAAGCAGAGTAGTCACCTTAGCGAAGTGAGAACTCCTCCAGGGAGCACGCAGGTTTAAGTCAGAGTCAGATTGTCCTGTGGAACCAGCTTCCAACTCAATTGTTTCCTGAGTATTCATATAAGGAGCATGCAGAAGGGAAGCTAACCCTTCCCTGCAGAGCCCAGGGTCATCAGGGTAGAGAGCCTTGAAGATTGAAGACATTTGCTTTCTTTCAAACAGTATTTTCCTCTTCAGTCTCCAGTGGGAACCTCAGACTAACACATGGTGTAGATCTCTATAGAGGTGGGATGGGGAAGAGACTAGTGAGGAATGTTCATGACTTGCCTGTTTGGTGAATTTGCAGGTCACAGAAAACCTAAATTCTGACCCCTTGCTTGAACTCTGCCAGTGTCCCCTCTGCCAGCTAGACTGTGGGAGTCGGGAGCAGCTGATTGCACACGTGTACCAGGTATGGAATGGGTGGGAAGGGGCTCTGGGACCGAGTGCCAGCAGCTCAGAGCTCAGGCGCTGCAGTGGTCTGGCCTCTGGCTGTTGCTTTCTACCCTCAGAGCATCTTAGAAAATAATGGTCTGAGTTCCCAGTCATTCACACTATGGAAATTAAGTACTTCAATCTTCTTTTAGTAAGTTATTCATTCCATTCTGTAGTGAATAGAAACTGACTTCTGTTAACAGTGATAGCTTTTAAAGGTAGGGTAAGGCTAATAACATAAATCACATAATGTGAGCCAGCAAGCCTGATGACCTGTGTACAATCCCCAGGACCCACACAGAGGAGGGTGAGAACTGACTGCCACTTGTTATCCTCTGACCTGTACACACACATACTGTGGCATGCACAGGCATGCTGCAGGCACACAAAATAATTAAAATGCAAAAGGACATATTCTGAGGTGTCAGTGAAAGTACAAACAAAGGAAACAAAGCAACCAACTTTTCACCCTAATCCAACCAAGAGTATAGCTGTTCCTAGTGGTCTACGTTTATGAGACAGCAGTACACAGCCCAGGTTGTACCAGGCTCTGTGGACTGTACCCATAAAGATGGGTGAGTCCTTAGAAGTATTTCTTCGGAAGACTGTGGAAAAGCAGGCCATGAATTCCTGTTAAATGCCACTGTTCTCATCTAACTACGTCATTGTACTCTAGGTTTCTCTTGTAGCCTTGGCTGCCCTGGACTCACTTTGTAGCCCAGGCTGGCCTCAAACTCAATGATCTGCCTGCCTCTGCCTCCTGAGCGGGACTACAGGTGCACCACCACCACCAGGCTCATTTGCACTTGTATCTGCACAGTATGAGCCAGGGAAGCTAAGATTATCAAGAGCATGAATCCCTGTCAGACTCTGAGGAGGGCTCTGGACCCCTATTACTCCTCAAGCCATTCATGTGTCCCAGAATATGGCCAGAAGCATGGTAATAAAGTCTTAGCAATGGTCTGAATGGCTGAGCTCATCTGGAAATACACTAGCCATCAGGCTGAGATTTTTCCAGGAGTTAAGGAATAGCTGGAAGTCCCTCAGTCTGAGGGAAGAAAAGAAGGGGTGCAGATGTCCTGGAGGCAACACAAACTCACAGATGAAGGCTTTGTCTTACAGCATACTGCGGCAGTGGTGAGTGCCAAGAGTTACATGTGCCCTGTCTGTGGACGGGCGCTTAGCTCCCCAGGATCTTTGGGTCGCCACCTCCTAATCCATTCGGAAGACCAGCGGTCTAACTGTGCTGTGTGTGGAGCTCGTTTCACCAGCCATGCCACTTTTAACAGGTTAGTAGAACACCTAACCATGCGCTAACAGCCAGGTACTGGGTATAAGAGCTGCTTTCCCAGGTAAAAAGAAAGGCCAGAGATGAGTAATGCAAATGAGCTGATAGAACAATCTAGAAATACAAGTAATGAGACTAGAGATAGGTAGACAGTATGCACTAGATAGCCCTCAAGGGAAATGAATTGCTTTTCTTTCCCTATCAGAATATTTCCAATTAGAAAGTGATGCAGAGACATGCAAGAACACTCATGATAAAATAGACATCCGTTGCACTATTCAGAGGATCTGCTGTAAGGGCACACTCTGCTGTGTTCTGGGAAGACTGAAACATTGTCCTCACCCCATTGCCTTGTGCATGCAATGCACAAGCTGCTTTTCCTTATGGGCGGGGCCAGGTAGGAGGAGGTAAGGCAGTGGACTGTATCTGCATGAAGGAAACCACCTCCAAGCTCTTTCGTTCACACAATAGGCCTAGGCCTGCACAGTGCTAAGATAAGTGCCATTCTGACTTTGCCTTGTAGAGGTTATTCTGGGTATGTTTTAATGGCAGATGGTTCAGTTTCTAATTCAGAGTGAGCCTTAAAACTTAGTAGATACTCTAGTCCAAAGAAGAGAAGGGGGTCATCCAAGTATTCGTACCAACCCTCACAGTGGTGGATTTGGAACAGCTTGCCTAGTAGTTAAGGAGTAAGTCAGTTACAGATAGCTGAAGCTTGCTACAGGGAAATACAATACTAACCATCAAAAGTCTTTGCTTTCCAGTGAGAAACTTCCTGAAGTACTTAATATGGAGTCTCTACCCCAAGTCCATAGTGAGGGCTCCTCCAGCGCTGAAGGAAAGGACATTGCCTGCGCTCCTCCAGTGTACCCTGCTGGAATTCTGCTTGTGTGCAACAACTGTGCTGCGTACCGCAAGCTACTGGAAACACAGACCCCCAGTGTGCGCAAGTGGGCCCTTCGGCGACAGAACGAGCCTTTGGAAGTACGGCTACAACGACTTGAACGAGAACGCACAGCCAAGAAGAGTCGGCGAGACAATGAGACCCCAGAGGAGCGGGAGGTAAGACGCATGAGGGACCGTGAAGCCAAGCGCCTACAGCGCATGCAGGAGACAGATGAGCAGCGAGCTCGCCGGCTACAGCGAGATCGTGAGGCCATGAGGCTGAAGCGGGCCAATGAAACCCCAGAGAAGCGGCAGGCCCGACTCATTCGAGAGCGAGAGGCTAAGAGGCTCAAGAGGAGATTGGAGAAAATGGACATGATGTTGCGAGCCCAGTTTGGACAGGACCCTTCTGCCATGGCAGCCTTAGCAGCCGAAATGAACTTCTTCCAGTTGCCTGTGAGTGGAGTAGAGTTGGACAGCCAGCTTCTGGGGAAAATGGCCTTTGAAGAACAGAACAGCAGCTCTCTGCACTGAACCACACCCTCCTGCCTGACCTCCCATCCATTCCAGCTCACAGGGATTGGTGCTGCAGGCACCCAGGAGGCCACAGTCCTTGCTTGCCACAGGCAGGTCCGGGTTGGCTGCAGGGAAACCTGTGCACCCTCTGCATGTGGGAACAGGATGGGGTCAGGAGGGACCTGGCTCAGTGCAGCTCTGGACAAGGGAGCAGGCACTCCAGAAACCTGGACTTTTTAGCCAGCAGTGGCAAGCCAGGGTTATAGGACTGTAGGACCCAGTACAGTCCATGAAGCTGTGAGGGCAAATAAATTAATTTTATCTTTCCTGGCCCTTGGCTCTTTTGTCTCATTTCTGTCTCATCCAATGATGTGTGTGGTAGGAGAGTTTGACTGGGACTTTTAGGTAATGACTTTTAATGGCTTTTTCTTTTCTGAAGCAGAGTGCTCTTCAACTTGGATTATCCAAGCAAACAACTAGTGATTGATAGGTCATCAAGTCATCCATGATAAAGGCTGGAGCAGAACAACTCACTCTTGCAGTGTGGCTGCCAAGATCTGGAGAGGACAAGAGCCACTCACTTCTGTGTCTGTGCTGGTATAGGAATAAACACAGACCTTTCCTTAGCTGTCTCAAAGCTTATGCAAAGTTTGGATATTTACAGATCCTGGGGTCTAGAAGGATATACCCTAGTTAATTTGTTGCCAGGAATGTGGATCTCTTCCAATGTAACAGGGCTATTCAGACTCCTCTCCCACCTTTGTAGGTCTAAGACTTTTCAAAAAGGTCAAATAACTCCCAGTTAAGTCCTGCCTAGCCAGCTGAAAAAACAAAAACCTCTTTAAGAATCACATTGACACTCAGGAGGTGGAGGCAGGCAGATCTCTGAGTTCGAGGCCAGCCTACAAAACAACAAAACAGTCTACAAAACAAGTTCAGGACAGCCAAGGCTACACAGAAAAACCCTGTCTGAAAACCTAAAAACAACAAAAAATTACACTGAAGTTTGGTGGTGCACACCTTTGATCCCAGCACTTGGGAGGCAGAGGCAGGTAAATCTTGTGTCAGTTCAAGGCTAACCTGGTCAACAAGTTCCAGGGCAGTCGGCTACACAGAAACCAGAAACCGTCTCAATGGAGAAAAAAAAAAAAATTACATTGAAAAGAGAGTAAGTACTTACTTGATCCAAATGCTTTTCACAGAGTTCCATACTGAAGTCCTATTTGGAATATTCCAAATGACCGGATATACTGTGTCCCAAGGAACATCTTGTATACTTTAGATGGATTATCTCATCTCTACAATATTCTGAATTAGTACAAACTCAAGAATTAGATGTGTGATTTTGAAACCCCAGCTCACTGGATGTTTGCCAAACATGCTAGAGCCTCCAGCCTTGTTCCCCACCATTGCAAAAACCATAGAACAAGCCAGCTGTGGTAATGCCCATCCTTTATCCCAGCATTTGGGAGGCAGGGACAGGTAGGTCTCTGAGAGTCTGAGGATAGCCCGGTCTACATTAGTGAATTTCAGGACAGCCAGCATTAGGTAGAGAGACCCTCTCTCAAAAACCCACTGTCCCATTACTGTGTAACTTCCATTAGTTACTCAATTCCTGTCACAAAATGGTGGTAATACTATTGACAGACGACTGATAAAGCGCTTATGGTAGTTGTAGGACCTGGTAAATAAATGTGCTTGAGTGTCTCACCACTTACAGCGGTGAGCTTTCTAAGCTGGAAGCAGTGGCTATAATTGGGGTGACCTCAGCAATGTGTGGCAGTATGCCAGAGTAAAGGACCTCGTGGAAAGGCCAGCAGTTAGGACATCTAAGGCTTCTAATGATTGACCACCTTAGTCCACAGGTTTCCCGGACTCTGAAATCCACACCAGCGGGAGCAGACCATGGTTCAGGTAACTCCCACTTTACCAGTGTTTACCAATGCCCTGCACTATCTTTGCTCCAAAGTGCTGCCACCTCCCACCCAATGGCCACCCATCAGACAGATAGGAAAAAGGCGCAAACACCAAAAGGAAAAGCTAGTAGTTTATATAGATTGATATATAGATATATAGATATTGATATATATTGTGTTTACATAGTCCACAAGTTAAATGCAGGTATCCATAAGAAGAGCATTAACAATAAAAATACAATCTGTGTGTAGCCAAGTACAGAGACTTAAAATGGTAAAACAGCAAAAAGGATCTCACAAAAGTACAAATATACAGTACAAATTGATTTATTTAAAACAGTTACAAAAAAGCACAACAAAATAGAGATTATCCTTAGAATTATTAATGCTTTGTTAAAGATCAGGTAGGATTAGAGGGTAAGAAACGGTACTGGGTGGGAGGAGCACCTGACTAGTTCTAAGGCTTTAGATACAATGCGGTTGATTACATATTAATTCAGCCATTACATACTGGGGATAATGGTTGGGGGATCAGTAATTTATCTACAGGAACTCCTACAAAAACCAGATCCTTCCAGACCTCCCCAGTGTCATCCTTTCCTACTTAGGACCCTAAAGCCACCTGGATGACAAATTTCGCCTCCTTTCTCCACCCCATTACCTATCCGTATACTCTCCCCTCCCCTAAGGTGCTGTGCAAGCTGAGAGCAGTCTGCTCTCTGCAGCTGGAACATATACTGTTTTGGCTACAGGGATCCTGTGTGACTAGGAAAATAGGAAGTGTGTAGAGGACAGCCGTATTTTAATACTTCAAGTTAGCCGTGAGTACAGTCAGTCTCTTCCCCAATCCAACTCAATGAGTGCACTATGAAGCAAGTGAGGGGTCCACCCTGCCTTCAGCAATACCAGCAGCTCGCCAACCCTCACCGTTTACAACTACATGGAAAGCCCCTGGCAGGGGTGGGGTGGGCAGAAAACCACTGTTACCAGTTCTCTCTCTGAAGTACCGAAGACCCCTAACATAAAGACAGACTAAACGTTTGCAAGTCTGACATTAGATAAAGGCACATGGGCTACCGCCAACACACAGCAGGCAGGAACCCAGTCTGGGGCCATCTTTACTGCCAGGCATTTGCAGTGGAATGGCTTTGGGATCACACAGACTGTTGAATTTGCAATCTACTAGGGAAAGATCTAGGCTTAACAGAACTAACAAAGAAACCTTTAGTGTGAAAAGTGCATTTATTACTATTATTCCTGCTGAGGAGGCTCAGCAGGGCAAGCCACACCACCTCTCCTTCTGCCCCAGGAACTGTGCATAGTCTGCAGGTAAGGAGAGAATGCAGCCAACTCTAGCATCAAGGGCCAGTGTCATCCTGGGCTTAGACCTTGGTCCAAAGGTGGATCCTAGAGTTGAAAAACAAAACAAAACAAAACTGACAGCTGCAAAGACCCAGATGCTTATTTTATTATTGCATAATGTGGGAGACCTTTCCTGCCCTGGGGAAGCTAGAAAGTGAAGGCTTTCAAGCAAGGGCTAACAACATCCATCCATAGTATTCCGCTCTTCAACCGTAGTGTACAATTTTTCTGATCTAGAAAGTACAAAAAGGTTCAGTGTAGTTTAGTAAACTTAGTCCTAGAAGGTCAACACATCTCTAAAACATGGCCTTTGTCTTACTTGCTTCTAAGACTGTGGCCTAATCTCCCATGGCCAATTCAATTAACCTGGTTATCTTTCCCAATGTCCATCTTCAGCTCATGCCACTGTAACAACTCAACTCTTCACTATGCCTACTCAATGGAGGTTTAAATTATGCTACCATCCTGTTCTTAGAATGCCTACCATACCCACTGGTAAAAATAAAATTAAACCCAACCAGGGGAGCCATTTCAGCCAAACTTCAAACACGCAACCCCACCCCAGAATCTGGGGCTAGATGAATGCCACTGGGATGCTGGTTCCAGCCCTAATATGGTTCCTCTTGCTCTGAAACAGGATAGGTATAAAGTACCATAAAAAAAGAGAGAAAAACCTCTAATAGGACCTGCTTGTTTATCTCTCAAAGGCAAGCAAATTTTTGAGAGCACTGAAGCCACATCCTTCCAGATCTACCAGCCCATCAACAGCATTCAGACCTTCCTATTTAACATGACTGCAGCAACACTGGCAGAACACAGGTAAGAATAAACAGGGTGCCTGATTTAATCTACATGGCCAAAGACATGAAGGACAGGAGCTATAATGGGCAACAGGCAGGATAGCAAGCAGACAACAGCAGTGGCAAAGCAGCAAAGAGCAAAGTCCATGGTATTAGGACCAAATGGGACCATACAAGTATGGGGGTCAGTCCTAGCTCTTCTTGGTATATACTCTCAGCTCTGAGGGCACAAGTCCCTTCCCCACTTTCTGCCTTGATAAGCATGATCTAAATCTTAGATTACTAATCATCCTTTACCAAGTTCCCACTCTTCTAAATTGGCATAGGTATTTCTGTTCAGTTTCAGATAGCAGTTCTTTCTCTAAGTTCTGGGAGAACAAAACAAGCTGGTCTTTGTCAAAACTGCCCAGTCCCCAAAAGCAGACAGCTGACCGCTGAAATGCTCACTCTAAAACTCACTGGTGTCTCTTACATACTCAGAGTAAGCACTACTAAAGCTCTGACAAGCACGAGAGCGCAGAGCTTCTTTTCTAGGGGTACACACTTCTGAAAAGGTAGCTCTCAGCAAACTCCAAGTCACATATACGTGGAACCACATCAAGGGAGTTGCTGTTGTTAATTTACCAGACAGGGCTAGAAACAAACCACAGAAGAAAGGTCAGTGCCCAGTTTTCTTTTCCAGGATTAAGCGAGCATTGCCAGGCTGGAAAACTACATATAGCCCAAGTGCAAAGTGATTTGACTTCAACATTATATGTCTGCCCCATGAGGAAGAAGCTCAGTGGTATACCGGGTAGACACTTCTTGAGCATCTACCATATGTTACTAAATTCCCGTGATGAACCTTCTGAGGAGGGGTACTTGTCAGAAACCCATGCATGCAATAATCCCTAGGAATGAGTTGCTCATGAAACTGTCGAAGAGGCGAGGCCTTCTCCCAAGGCTCTCATCTGAGAGAATTCCTCCAGACTCAAGCCCACAGGCCCCCACTTGTAGGAAACAAGCCAGAGAAGCAGCAATCAGAGAATGGGGGCAAGAGTAGAATAGGACATGATCTCCAATGCAGCACAAGGTTGGTGTTTGACTCTGACCTAGACCAGACTGAAGTACTTGCGGTCAAATTAAGCAGCTTCCTTTGAATGCCGCCCTAAGAGGTCACTAATCAGGAATCTGCTCTCAAGGTATGACACAATGTAGAGCTTGTAGCAAACTAGTCAGTTTCTGTCACTCTGTTCCCAAAGAGAACAA